GCTGTTCGGCGCCTCCAAAATGGCCGCCGGAGCCCCAATCGTCGCAAAGCGAGTGCGGCGATTGGGGCTGATCCGTATAGCGATCCCCAAAAAGGGATCGCTATACGGATTTTTCGTTAAACGGTGCACTCGTTAAGCAAGGCACCACTGTACATAAATAAAGAAATTATAAAGAAATTTTGTTCTTTTGGTTTGTGCTGAAACTGAGTGTTGCAAAAGTTTGGGAGAAAGACTCAGATCTTTATAGTTCCTCCATGTACATTTTTATTTCATTTCACAATTTAGCAATCTTGAGCTAATGACTCTCAAACTAACATTCTGGGTTGAAAAGATAAAGTAGCAGACTTTGCAGTAGAATGCAGTAGCACAAGCAACAGTAACAAAAGTTCCAACATACCAGCTGTAAGTGAAAAGGGTTAATAACTTGAAAAGTTTCTGACATGCAAATAGTAATTTCTTACATTCAGTCCAGAGCAGTGAGTAAATAGTTAAATATGTGTCCCTTTATCTTATCAATTTAGTAAAACAGTTCTTGATAAACTGCTGGAGTCTCAGTTGTTGTAGCAACTTCATAGTAATGACCTCAGGGTCATGGACTCAAAAACACAACAGAAGACTTAAAAATAAGTTTGGCTAAAAAGACTTTACATCAAAAACTATGTACAAATGGTATAGAAAGAGTTAGATGGAAAACTATAAAAAAAGGAGTTACATAAAAAGCAAGGAAGAAATACTGCTGCCACACCCTACTGGAAATAGCCTAAATACGTGGTCCGTGGGCATGGCTGATTTCTTGAAGCAGTTTCACAGTTTCATTTCTGAATATTTGCAAGCTTTGAAATGCCTTTCGAGGCCATTGGAAAATGTCTAGCAGTGCCCACGTTTTCTCTGTTAACTTTGCATGGGAACACTAAACACAAAGAATTATTTGTGTTAAAGGCAAATGTTGTTCTTCATTGGTTTTATTTTTTCCTTTCATATGTACATTGATTACCCTACATATTGCTATATTAAAAAAAATTGTACTACTGCTTATGCCCACAAATCTGTGTTGATTGTAGTTAAGTGAGCCTGGTTGTGGGACAGGAGATTATGGTTGTGCTTTCTTTTGTAGAATTCTTCTCATTCTTTAAATCTAGAGCAAAAGATCATAATTGAAGTTTGCATGCAATGCATATGCATAAAAATGAGATGCAAAGAACATGGGGAAAATGGTTGTTACTTTTGTGTTCTGAATTACAAACTCTAGATAATATCTAACATTAAGACATAATATATAAAATACCGTATTTTTCGCTCCATAAGACGCACCTTTCCATAAGACGCACCAAATTTTTAGGAGAAGAAAACAGGAAAAAATTATCTGCTTTCTTCTCCTAAAATTTGGTGAGCCTTATGGAGAGGTCCATCTTATGGAACACACCCTAGGGTCCTAGGGTGTGTTCCAGG